GTGAAATGACACTTTCAACATGTATGGGCAAGCAGAAGTTTACTCAAATGGTGAAAAATACAGGCCCTAGATCTCGTGACTCTACAAATGTACAGAATGTAAAATAAATTCCTTGTTTTCCTCGTTAAGTTTAACTATTGGAAATAATGAGTCCTTAAAAGGGAGTGATTAGATAGTATAAGAATGCAAATTTGGCAGAGTAATAAAACCCCAGTAATTTCGGACATTTTACATTCTATACTCCTTTCTAGGCATGTTATGCTTCCCAGATTGTAACCACTGGTACTTTGACAGACTTTGGAAACAGTTACTCACTTATGAAGACCCCACACCTCTGAGAGAACACCCAGAGGGTAACGGAGAAAAGGTGTGACAACCATGCTTGTGTTTTGACTCATCCTAGAGAAATGTATTAGGCCTTCAGATATTTGCGAATTTTTCCGAAGATAGTCTATCTGTCACTGCAAGCTCCATCCGCTTACAGTGTGATGATTCATAGAAGCACTCCCAATTTGGGGGCGCCGCATAAACTGGGCCTCAAAGCATCCCTGACACTAGCCACTCAGCTGCCATAGAGAGCTTAAATCTGTCTGGCAAACTTAGCGCAGTATTTAGAAACATTGCTTCAGGCGTATAAGCTATCATGGATACCAAGACTTTACATTTCTGAAGTCATAACTGTTTGATTCTTTTGTGGTCGAAACTTCTCCCGTTGACTCTCCTCCGACATAAAAGGAACTTGGTATGAATGTTGTTTTGAAATGGACAAAAGAAGCATCAGGAAGCTTGTTCTCTCGTCCTGTCTGCAGTCATGGCTTGGCAGATTCCACGAACTCCCGAGAGGATCCAAGCAGGGTGACGAGCAGAAGAAAAATGACAGAAGGTTCTAAGTCTGGACTCCTCCTTCCGTTGTTTCTGGGACAGACTTGAGGTCTCTAGAAGAGGCATGGTAAGGTAAATCAAGGCAATCAACGCTTAGTCCCAGGCGGCACTCACCAGGCACCCAGCCGCTAGCTCACATAGAGGCAGAAACCCAGGAACAGAGTTACAAGGCCACGGGTGGAAACGCAAGGACAGTTTGATGTGGAGTCCCAGGACTGGTGCGAGCCCTTAAATTCGTCTTGCCTTGACAGAGGTTTCTAAATTGGTCTTAACTGCTGGAGGAGTTGTGTCTGCATGTGGAGTCCAGAGCAGTGTCTACATATTGGGGGTGAGGGGTTCCATTACAGTATTACAGTTGGAGCATGCAATTACTTGGCCAGGCTGAAACCTAGCTCAGAGCTTCTACTCACCAAGCCATGTCCCTCACACAGCCTATGGGGGCTCATTGGCAGTCCCCCCCGAGAAGGCTCCCAGGAGACTCATTTGCCCAGAATTCAGAATCAGCCAGGTCCTCAAATGTGCACCTCTGGAGACTCCTCTGAAGAGACACCCAGGGCTGAAAGCAGAAGACTGATTCATCTTAAACTTAAGGTTTAACTTAAGATTCAACTTAAACTTGGGTCTGTTACAAGACCATCATCTATCACCGACGTGGGACATTTGTGTGAATCAGAAGAAGGCAGATCTAGGACTGGACCAGCAAGCATGGTTTGGCAATCAGAGAGTGAGCCAGATTTTAATCCCTGCTCTTCCCTTTGGCCAACATGTACAACCATCCCTTGTGGCTCTGCCTATATGTCGCTTTTAATAATAGATCTAGAAACTGTCTTGTGAATGGCAAAATTGTATGAGTTTTGTTTAAAAGCATTAATTGCCTTAACAGTTAAAACATTCCACAGTTTTTTTAACTAAATTCTAGCACACCTTCATTTTAAATATACTAGGACTGCCGTAAAATGTAAGTGGCTTGGGTCTCTCTCTCTCTCTGACCTCTGAGAAGCCCCAGCCAAGGGGCAGGAGGGAGGGAGGCCTGACACCTTCCACTGCAGGGAACCAAGGCTGCCTGTCAGTTCGAATCATTTTCCTGTAGGAAATGTCATTGCATCATTGCATTGTAAGAGAGTGATGTCATAGTGTGGGGCCCTGATCCCACTTCCTGACTTTTAACCTGAGTCTTGTAACCTTTTTCAGCTGTCCTGCACCCAGAGAAAATGAAACACATCGAAATGTAAAGGCCAGCGTGTCTCATAAAGGCCTTCGAGGCCCCAGGGTGGGGTTCACTTTGATGATATTAATCATCAAAAAACAGTTTTGTTTGGGTATCACATCCTGGATATGACACGGACCTCATACCTAGGAAAGTAAATGGAAAAGAAATAGTAGTCAGGATGTGTCTGTAATTTCTTGGCAGAAACCCTTCCTTTTTCCTAGATTGGGTTTAATTAGTGGGGACAAGGCTAAATTTAATTAAGATGCATTGCTTAGTTTTTGTGGTGGTGGTGTTTTTGTTGTTAAACTCTCTGTGAAAATGAAAAATGGTTCCTGAACTGATATTTTAAATCTTACATACGGCATTTTTGTCTCCACATCTTAGGATTGGTTACAACCCCAGCCTAAATGACATTATTAAGCTATTTCCTGGAATGTCAAGGGCTGAATTTGCCCTGTCAAGAACGACTCTGTTCTTTCAGGGATTTCAGAGAGCAAGGGCTCGGATTGCATTCTTGCTCTGTTATTATAAGTTTTTGCCTGGCAGGAAACCACTGGGTCTCAGATAATTTGCATATATCCAATGAGAGTGATCCACTGTTCTATGGAGGTTTTCAAGATTGCATGACAACACCGTGGAAGAATCTCATATGGAGAAAGGGGATTTTTTCCCCCCTTTCCCTAAGCCCCATTTTAAATTGTTTCCTTCCCACAAGCTGATGTGTCCACATTCAAAGAGTTATAAGTAACCCAGTCTATTTTCCTGCCTTGGCCTCTGTCACTGGTCCAGTAATATCATCAGCCACACAAAACTGGAAACAGTCTGTTCGAAAGTAAAGGTGCCTTATTCCTTCCGGAAGGCCTGTAAAACAGACTTTTTTTGGCATGTGATGGTGAACGGTAACACTTTAGTTCTCCCCGGCAAGGGCATAGTAAAACGTCTGCTCATTTCTTTGTGAAAGCAAGGGCAAGAAATAACCACACATATTTCTTGACAACTGAATATAATTTTTAACATGTTATATATGGGATCCCAGTTAACCTAGCACTTGGTCTTAGACCACTTCACTTATGTAGCAGCTTGGGATCTGCAGAACTGTGCACACTGTGCTGAGCACGGAAGTTCTGGGAAGCAATCACTGCCCCTCACTGGTCCCACAGTCGGTGCCATGGCAGCTGGGAATGCCAACTCTTGATAGAATGTCCAACGGTCACCTGAAACGCTTTCATAACCGAGAGGGATACCAATCAGAAAGCAAAGTGGAAGTAAATAAATAAATTGCCAGGGCACTCAGTACTGGGTGGAAATGCTCCAATAAGGTGAAAATGAATTCAGACAGTATACTGATAAAATTTAAATCCCTACTCGTGTAATCACCAGGCGCAGAACCAGACGTCTTGTAGCTTCATTAAGTGGCAGATGAATATGCGTTGATTGAAGAGCTGAGGTCTGGGTGGCCCCTAAGGACTTTCAGACACCAGTGATTGAGCTGTGTTCCTGGAACATGTCATTTAGCTTCTCTACATATCATAGTTTTCATGGTATGTCTCAAATGAATGGACTCTGTAGAGACTGATATTCAAAGGCATCTAATAAATGTACTGAATTGAATCAATAACACTAGACACTATTTTTGTGCTTAAGTAGTGTTAGATTTTCTGCTGTGTGGTTTACCTCTAGAGTGCCACGGAATTCTCTCAGCAAGCCTGGGAGTTAGCTATCCTCATAAGTTCCACTGGACCAGGGAGGGACTGAAGCTATTGCCTAAACCCACCAGAGGGCCGGGATTTGAAACCAGGTATTTCTCATCCTGAAGTCCCACCCACTTTCTGCTACCCTCCACGACTGCTTCTCAGACATGCATCCGAATCACAGGGAGGAGGGCTTCCTGACACAGGCTGTTGGGACCCGACCCCCAAGTTTCCGGGTCATACAAGTTCCTGGTGATGTTGATGCTGCTGGCATGGGATTCACATGTGAGAACCCCTGTGCTGTATTTGCAGGCATAGAGACATAGAGACATGTAAGAATATATGCCATAGAGGGACGCCTGGGTGGCTTAGGCAGTTGGGCAGATGACTCTTGATTTCCACTCAGGTCATGATCTCAGGGTCGTGAGATGGAGCCCTGCGTGGGGCTCTGAGCTCAGCAGGGAATCTGCTTGAGGATTCCCTCTCCCTTTCCCTCTGCCTCTCCTTCCCTCATGCTCTTTCTCTCTCAAATAAATTAATAAATCTTAAAAAAAAAGGAATATATGACATTGAGATATAAGAAGCAAATCTCTGGACAGGTTAAGAAAGACCTCTTACTTTTTTTTTTTTTTTTTTAAGATTTATGAGTAATCTCTACACTCAATGTGGGGCTTGAACTCACAACCCCGAGATCAAGAGTCGCATGTTCTACTGGCTGAGCCAGTTGGGCACCCCAGCTTTACATTTAAAGCCACACAACAGCTGAATGAGGTTGCCTATTGGGAATGGTTCAACAGCCAGGGGCATTTAGATCTTGGGACATTTGATGAGAAGTTGGCCTAGAGGACAGCTAAGGTCCCTTCTAACTATTAAACTGTCATGAGTGCCATAGACAAGTTATGGAGAGGCCAGGAGGGAGGGTCATTCTCCCCCTGTAGGAGGCCCTTCTCATCATGGCTACTATTCCATGTTTTAATTGTATTTGAAGATCTACAGTTGCCTTAGTAATGGCAATGAAGAAATGCTGAGAAAAATGGTTCCTTAGTTTAGGTAGTATAGAATTATAGTTTAATGGAACACCACACAGGGACAAGAGGAATTTAAAGAAAACATTCACTCACTGCAAATTTATATTTCAGATTTTATAATTTCTATGACAATGATGATAAAATTTCCATTTTAAAAATCATAACAGGTAAACCAGAAAAAATGGGGTTAACAATCTAAAAGGGCTACAATGTACAATTATCTCAATTTTTATTTCATAAGAATATAGAGGGACAAGTTTGAAGATAAAAATTATTTTGCAAATATTTCAAAATAATGGCCACAAATATAACAAATTTAAGAGGATCACTGCTTCAAATTTATTGTTCATTCTTTTGACCCTAGGAACAAAAAAAAATAAAGTAGTGTTTATTTCTACAATTTATCAAAGAAAATAGAGTGTCACTTCTGACATTTAATTTAGCCTTTTTTATGTCACAGGAACCCAATGAAGGATGATTCAAGTAACAGCACCATGGTACCACTTAAGGATTTAAGAGGAATCACCAGAGAGAAAAATATTGGTGATATTGGTGGAGGGGGATGGCAGAAAGATATAAAAAAGAAATAGATGTGTAATAAAATATCTGGCATGAGCATAAAACAATTCAGAAGAACCATTACTTTTGTAGGCAGGGACTGTCTAAGGAAGTGAGGGATTTCTCTGTTGCATATCTTTTTTGGTCATTTGCTATTTTGTTTTGTCTCGTTTGGGTTGGTTTGGGGTTTTTTGAAAATTAACAGAAGGTTAAAGTGTACTTTCTAAAATCTTCAAATGAGAGCCAAGAATTTAAATTTGATTAGAAGGGGAAGAAAGCAAGCATTTCTTGAGCAACTATCAAGTGCCAAGCCCATGTAAGGCTCTTACTAGTCAGTACGCCATTTCATTTGGCAACATGTGAGGTACGTGTTGTCTCTTAGGTGCAAAGAGGTTCAATATTGATTTGCTCAAGGCTGCTCAGATGGTAGGTGATGGAGGAAACAATTATACCTTAAACTGTCTGACTTCAAACGTACCATGGCATATCAAGTTCTCCATGTGTCATAAATAATGCTGAACGCAATGCTTCTTCAATAAGCACCGTTCCTCAGTATGGAAATTCAAATCAACCTTTTCTCTGTTTTCCTTCCTCGAGATTCCATAACCACAGTAAATTCCCTCATGATGTGTGAATTGTTCTTAAATTTGAAATATTCCTGACATATACATTTAGGTAAGATTTTAGCTATGGCTAGGAAGCCATAAAAGTGACATTTAGTATTGCAACCTGCCACTCTGCTAGTCTTTTGACCCCCACACTCCCAGTCCCACCTTTTCTGCTCACCTTAGTCAGTCCATATTCTTGGAGAGGAGCTGCACCCACATGAATGTCACGTAAAGGAGCTTGGCTGTATTTTGTGTGTTAAGGGGAGCCACAGAAGCATGTAATAAGATAATATTTATTACTTATACTATTAACATAAGATAATAGTTATTCCTTATACTATTACTATCACTCTGCAGGGGAGTAATAAGAGCAGATTTGAACTTGAGAGAGCTCATTCTAGAGCTTCTGTGGAGGATACTTCTTAAGAAAGACAAGATTGGAGGGGCGCCTGGATGGCTCAGTCGTTAAGCGTCTGCCTTTGGCTCAGGTCATGATCCCAGCGTCCTGGGATGGAGCCCCACATCAGACTCCCTGCTCAGCAGGAAGCCTGCTTCTCCCTCACCCACTCCCCCTGCTTGTGTTCCCTCTCTCACTGTGTCTCTCTCTCTGTCAAATAAATAAATAAAATCTTTAAAAAAACAAAAAAGAAAGACAAGATTGGAAGCAAAGATGTATGAGTGAGAGAAGATGGAGGGCTGAATCAGGGCCACCCTGGTCAGTACAGAGAAAGGGGGACACAGTGAATAAATATTTAAGAGGTGCAGTTGCCAGGATATGGTGATCAACTCAGGTGTGAGGAGTCAAGGATGACTCTAGGTCTTAGGGTCATGAGCTTGTCCTGAGTGTCATGAGTGCTGGCAACTGAGCTGGAGGCACAGGAAGACGAGCAGGTGTTAGGGACAAGGAGATGATCAGCTCCATTATAAACAACTTGAGTTTGATGTGTCTGTGGGACACCCAGGAGAGTGTCCAGAAAATAGTCTGATGTAGAGCTCAATAGAGCAGGAGAATGGACTGGGCTATGGAAGTGTGAGGTATCAGCCCAAAGGTGATAAGCGAGGCCACCAGACTTTAAGGAGTGAGCAGAGCAAAGGTGATAACCGAGGCCACCAGACTTTAAGGAGTGAGCAGAGCAAAGGAGTCTTCAGATAGACTGAGGAGGAAAAGCCTTGGAGAAGGAAGAAAACCAAAGAAAATGGTGTGTGGAAGTCAAAGGGGAGAGGATTTCATGAAGAAAGCGGTCAATAGTTTCAAAGGCTGTGGAGAGGTCAAGGAAAACACAGATTGAAAAGATTCCACTGGGCTTGGCTATGTACAGGTCATTGATTGGCAATCTTTGCCATGGGAACATCAGTAGAAGAAAAGAAGAGATAAGTTGTTAAATATGGCCTTGATTGAAACTGTCTTATAGCCCATGCTCTTCAGCACAAGGTTTATTATGAACTCAAAGCAAGGCTTCATTTATATCTGATGCATGACCAACTAAAGCCATAAAGTGTCCTGTGGCAAGCTTCAGTACCTCACTGGCTAGAATCCCAGGCAGGAATCCTCTTGATGCCTTCTATTAGATTCTTAAAATGGCTTTTTATTAATGATGAGATGTGAAACTGAATTAACCCTGAGTGACAAGAGTGGGAGTCACAGATTAAATCCAATCACTCTGTCTTGTCTCTCATAGTCAAGAAAACCCTTTATATCTCCCTGGGCTCCTTCCTTGTCCCACATGCTAACTGATACTAAATCTTGGTGATTCTACCTTCTATTTTCTTTTTTTTAAAGATTTTATTTATTTATTTTTGCGAGAGAGAGAAAGAGCACGCATGAGAGAGAGCATGAGTAGGGCGGAGGGGCAGAGGGAGAAGCAGACTCCCCGCTGAGCAGGGAGCCCGATGTGGGACTCAATCCTAGGACCCTGGGATCATGACCTGAGCCAAAGGCAGACGCTTAACAATTAAGCCACCCAGGTGCCGCTGATTCAACCTTCTAAATATCTCTCAAATGTACCACCTCTTCTCCATGCTCACTAACACTATCTAATTCAAATTTCATTATTCCTCATCTGGGCTCTTGGTCCTCCTGGCCCAGGTGACATTTCCCTCAATTCCTATAAGTCAATGGAGGACCAGACTATGTCTTGTTCATCCTTCTGTCTCTACCTTTAGCCCTTAGCACAGTATCTGGCACATAATATATGCTCAATAAATGTTGAGAGGCAAGTATAAATAATGAATGTTGTATTTAGGGCTTTGGAGTCATATTCCTCAACCCATGACAAGGAGAAAGTCACATACTAGTGAACACAAGATACTCCTCTTGTCAAATAAGTACTAATTACCATCCAGTACGTAGTAATTCTATTGCTTTAAGTAGCAGCTTTCTTTTTCTTTTTTTAAAGATTTTATTAATTTATTTGACAGAGAGAGCACAAGCACTGGGAATGGCAGGCAGAGGGAGAAGCAGGCTCTCCGCTGAGCAGGGAGCATGATGCAAGACTCAAACCCAGGACCCTGGATCATGAGCTGAGCCAAAGGCAGACGCTTAACTGACTGAGCCACTCAGGAGCCCCAGCAGCTTTCTTTTTCATCCATGACACTAGGTTAGTTATATGAAATAAGAGAAAAAAAATTTGGAACAATGTTTTTGCAAATAAATTGGAGTTTTAAGCTCCATACTTATTTAGAAATATAATGGTAAGTTCTGCAACAACACAGATGGATCTAGAGGGTATAATGCTAAGGGAAATAAGTCAGTCAGAGAAAGACAAATACCATTCAATATAACTCATAAGTTGGATTTAAGAAACAGAAGAAACAAACAAAAAAAGAGACAAATGAAAAAAACAGACCCTTAAACACAGAACAAACTGGTGGCTGCCAGAGGGGAGATGGGTGGGGGAATGGGTGAAGTAGATAAAGGGGATCAAGAGTACAAAGAGTACACTTTCTTGCTGAGCACTGAGAAATGTATAGAATTATTGAATCATTATATCATACACCTAAAATTAATATAACTGTATGTTAATTATACTTGAATAATTAAAAAAGAAAGACAACCAACAAGACAATTCTGGTTGGTTTGATATGAGATTGAATTTTTTTCTTTTTTTTAGAGAGAGTGCAAGTGGGGAAGGGCAAAGGGAGAAGGAGGAGAGAGAGGATCTTAAGCAGGTTCCACGCCCAATGCAGAGCTCTTTGTGGGGCTTGATCCCAAGACCCTGAGATCATGACCTGAGCCAGAATCAAAAGTGGGATGGTTAACCAACTGAGTCACCCAGGTGTGCCGACAGATTGAATATTGAGCAAAGAAAGTTGTTTTTCTAAAGTGATAAAAGTGATCTGTGTAACAGCTCTCATACCCGTCTTGCTTGAGTAACACAATTGGCATATATTACTTCTTGAGCTAGCAGAGTAAAGGCAGTGTGGTGTACTCCAGTGACACATGGGCATGGCTTAGGACAAGAAAAGAGCCACTCCTTGCTACAAACAGTCCTCTCTTCTAAATGTTAATCTTCTCCAGTGGAATAAAGCTTTATTTGAAAATCACAGACGGAGAAGCCCCTGGGTGGCTCAGTTGGTTAAGCATCTGACTTGGGCTCAGGTCATGATCTCAGGATCCTGGGATTGAGCCCTGCATTGGGCTCCCTGCTCAGTGAGGCATCTGCTTCTCCCTCACCCTTTGCCCTTCCCCCTGCTTGTGCTCTCTCTCAAATAAATAAAATGTAAAAGAAAGAAAGAAAGGGAGGAAAGAAGGAAGAAAGAAAGAAAATCACAGACTGAGACAGAGATGGAAAGGTCTTTGGATGTGCCTGGCCAAGCCCCGTGGTCTTTGAGATGAGGAAGCTCAAATCCACAACTACCGATACGTGCAGGGGTGAACCTCTGCCTTGTCCACAGTCCCTGGCTTGTAGGGCCAGTCTGGGAGGGGAAGTGACCTTGTGTCATTCCTCACCCCTCATGGCCTTCATTGTGTTTTACCCTAATTACTTCGTCTGTGTCTATCTCTTCTTTCCTGGGGGAATGAACCCAGTAACACCCAGTAACAACCACCGCATATTCTCCTGGTTAATTAATACAGTGCAAACTGTCCAACCAACATTTACTTTCCTAAATGGTTTTGTGTTCACATATTAGCACCATTATGGCCATTCTGAAATATTCACTAGTATTAATTCAGTTTTCTTTGTTGGAACTGAATTTATATGATTATAGAGAATGGAGGCTTCTGATTTCTACTCAAGTTTCTGCCCTTTTATAAAGCCAAAATTTCTTGTGTGTGTAGTTTTTTTTTTTTTTTTAAGATTTTATTTATTTATTTGAGAGAGAGAGAGAGAGAAGCAGACTCCTCGTTGAGCGGAGAGCCCGATGCGGGACTCGATCCAACGACCCTGAGATCACGACCTGAGCTGAAGGCAGATGCTTAACCCACTGAGCTACCCAGGTGCCCCATAATAATACCATTTTAGATTAAAAGTAAGAAGCAAGGGGAAAAAAAACCCAGTAGGGCATTTTATATTAAAAGATTAAACTGACTGAACGTCAAAAGGAAAATATGTTGATGTTCACAATGATTATAAAGTAAAAACTGACAAAAAGCAGTTGCTCAGTTACCTCCTCATCTATTGCTTCTGCTCTGACAAAATATCAAGCTTATTTTCATGCATCACAATAGACACTTTGGTCTCATTTCCTCTCTTCGTAAGTTGCTATCACCCGTGGTGTGGTCTCACTGATTAAATGAAATGAAAATATCCTGGGAAAAAATAGCTTCCATTTCTAATATATGAGTTAATTTTTGTCTGTGAGAAACATAAGAAAGGCTGTCCACAAAATGCATGCTATGCAAAACCACTTGGAGTCTGTAAAGCTGAAGAAACACTATGAGGTGTGGGCGAGCAGTGAGGAGCCTGGCCTCCAGACCCTTTGAGACTGGGAGCTAATCCTAACTCCGTCTGACCAACTCAATGTCGTCATCTGTGAAACGGGGCTGATGAGCTTTGCTAGGTTGTGAGGAAGGAAGGAGGTAAAGCACGTGACAAGTAGTAACTGCCCAATAAATAGCACCTACAATTACCCTGCTCCTACCCAGGCTCATGTCACCACCATTATTATTCCAGATGACCTAATGAGATAAAAGGAATGCTAATGCCCTGAATTGCAATTATTTTCCTAGATTCCGAGTTTCCTGTTGACCACTTCGAAAAGACCACATAAAGGAAATACAGTGGATTCTGACTGTTGTGTGGTCCTGCTTGAGGTTTACTTGAATCTCCCCGAGGGGATTTAGTTCCCAGAAGCACCGGAGAGAACTTGCTAAAGCCCCACATGAGGTTTCAGACCTTTAGGATGACAGTCATAGATGAATCTGTTTCAAAACACCTTTGTATCGCTAATGATACAGGGTATATCAGCTAGAAGATATGGAGCCAGTGCATTTCTGCAAATTAGTCTCTTGTTTGGAGGAAGAGTCTCATCCGCTGATACATATTCTGTCCTCATATGTTTTTGAACTGTTTAAAGTGTTTACCTCTATCTTTTATGGGAAGTAAATATTTCTCAATTCATTGAAAAAAAAAGAAGAAAACCACTGTATCACATGATAAGGGGGAAAATATTTTCTTTCCCCTTTCATCAAAAAAAAAAAAGCAAACCCCAGACATAACGATGAATAATTAAAGGAAAACAGACAGAGCCAGAGTTGTTCCATTCCGTGGAGGAGGGACAGAGTAGCTGCAGGGGACAGCTGTGGTGCGTCTGGTGTCCCAATTCTTTCCTTTCCCATCACTTTATTACTTACTGGACCAAGAATGTAGACAATTTTGGCTATGGTTGTTGTGCATTTTGCTTTCTCAACTTAATCCTATGCGGTGCTCTTTGCCCCCTGCACTGAGTCCTGAGCTGACAAGGTCACTTCAGCGTGTTGCGTGGAGCCTCGCGTGGGGGGCTCGTATTCCTTTTCCAGTTCCCTCTCTTTCCGTCCTGGGTCAGTTTGGAAACTTGGAAGGGCTTGCGGTCTTAGCCGGGGCTGCTATCACCAACTACCATAGGCTGGACGGCTTAACCAGTGAACATTTCTCACAGTTCTAGAGGCTGGAAGGCCAAGATCAAGGTGTCTGCAGATTCAGCGTCTGGTGAGAGCCCTCTTCCTATTTGGCAGATGGCCACCTTCTTGCTGTCTCCTTACATGGTGGAGAGAGACAACTCTGTCCTCCTCATCTTCTTATAAGGGCCTCATGGAAGCTAATCCCATCATGGGAGCTCTGCCCTCCTGACCTCACTAAACCTAATTCTCTCCCAAAGGCCCTACCTCCTAATACTATCACAGTGGGGGTTAAGGAATTTTGCAGAGACACAGACATTCAGTCTGTAGCATGCATATAAATATTTTATCAAAATCATCACATCCTTTATGCCTCTTTCAAGCATTTCTCACTGTGGTTTTGGTTGGGTACCAGCTGACTGCATGCTCACACACCAACACTGTGTGACCTTCAATGAGATGCTATCAGCTGTTAGTGTCTCCCTCCCAAATCCATATGTTAAAGCCCCAATCCCCACTGGGATGGTCTTTGGAGGTGAGTCATTTGGGAGATAATTAGGGTTAAATGATGTCATGAGGATGAGACCCCCATGATGGGATAAGTGCCCTTCTAAGAAGAGCACAGAGATCTTCTCTGTCCAAGAACAGGCACGGGAAGGGCCAAGTGAGCACACAGTGAGGGGACTGTCCACAAGCCAGGAAGAGAGGCCTCACCAAAGACCGACCCTACTGGTACCTTGATCTTGGGCTTCCAGCCTCCAGCACTGAGAGAAATAAATGTGTTGGTTAAGCCGCCACGTCTATGGTATTTTGTTATAACTGCTTGAGCTGACTGGGATGCAAGATGACTTTAATTTTCCTAAAATGAAAAGACACAGAGAGCAGAGACAAAATGAATGGTGATTCCTAAGGGAGTGTTTGATTTGTTTCTGGAAACATGTTTTTGAACTTACAGGAAAATTCTTAGAAGTGAATATTTTCGATCATAATATAGACTATTACAGAGCTGAGGAAAAAATGATTTTGTTCTATAATGCAATACAATTACAATTTCCTCCAAATCTTCCATCAAACTATCACTTTTTTCTTTTTTACAAATTTTCATAGCTCTTGAGTTTCCTGATAGGTGATGGGCATTAAGGAGGGCACTTGAAGTAATGAGCACTGGGTGTTGCATGCAACTGATGAATCACTGAATTCTACCTCTGAAACTAATGATACAGTATATGTTAACTAAATTGAATTTAAATAAAACATTTAAAAAATAAATAAAAAATAAAAATATTACTTATCTCTTTCAGCCTGAAGGGAACCTAACAATATAACAATATGGAGGCTCATTAAATGCAGAATCACCATGTAGAATTCTATATCTTAACAAGTGATCTGCCATTTCTTCTAAGAAAGTTGTGTGTTTTCTAGAATTTTGACAAACAATACATTATTTCACTGCCGGAAATCGTGCCTCATGTAGCTATTTCTACATGGTAACATGGTAACAAAGGTTTTTTTTTTTTTTTTAAGATTTTACTTATTTATTTTGAGAAAGAGAGAAAGAGAGAGAGAGAGGGAGCACAAGTGGGGAGAGGGGCAGAGGCAGAGGGGGAGAGAGAATCTTAAGCAGACTCCATGTTGAGTGTGGAGCCTGATGTGGTGTTCTCTCCCACACCCATGAGATCATGAACTGAGCCGAAATCAAGAGTTAGACACTTAACCGACTGAACCACCAAGGTGCCCCACATAGTAACAAAGGTTTGTGCAAGCTACATGTGCTCCTTGGGGGCAGTGGTGTATTTATTAATACAAAAATTCATATCCCATTATGTCAGCTACTCATCCTTGCTAATGAAACATGATCTGCCACCATCATGGATTACATGGTTTCAAGTCATCCAAAAATGCTCACCGAAGATTTGCTGTTTATTAAATTTATCGAGAACTCTCACCCAAACTACTGTTGCATTTTATGCAGGTGGGAAAATGGAAATTCTGTCCAGAAGTTACAGTAAGAGAATCCTGTGCTAGGAAGAGAATTTTCACCAGAATCTCTTGGGGCATGTGTTAAAAATGCATATTCCCTGCCTTCAACCCAGAGTTTCTGCCATAAGAATGGGCCAGGACAGAAGCCAGACATATGGTTTAACAAGAACCATGGGTGATTCTGATGTCATTGATCCACTTTGAGAAACATGTTGTAGTTGTGTTGGGTCCTATACCTAATTTAGAAATCACACACCAAGAAACTACTCTGAGCAAGATGGACAAAGGCAAAATTCTGAACTTGGAGAACTTTGCTCTGTTTTCAATTAATATTTTCTCTTTCCGGGCACTTTAAATGGCCTCACTATTGGGTTTCCAAGAGGCTGACTTACCAAGCTCTGCAGATACTTTTTCATTCTTTTCTCTCTGACTTCCATCCAATGTTAAATCTTGGGTGTCATGCCCAAGATGGCAGCTGGATGTCTGATTCGCTATCCATGCCAAGGGGTTATGGGTAGCCGATGCTTTAATGTGTGGTTTTCCTGGGTTTATATTCCTTTTAACAAAGGGCTCTAGGAAGTTGGGATGGTCCCTACAGGGGGAAATCACATTCTAAACCTCTAAATGCACTGGCAGTACGTCAGTCCACTAGCCTCAATTCTCAGGAGGCCTCCTTGCAAAATCAACTCTGTTCCTAAGAATGTACAGGATTTCCTTTGCAGACTTATGTAGAAGTTGAAGAGGACAAGACTGACCACAAAAGGTATCGAGAGTGCCAAGTTCTTGTCTTCTAGCTTTGCTGATTTGTGTTGATAGGATCAAACTGGAAAAAAAAATTGGCTAACATAACCCAAATTCACCTGACCTTAATATAATACTAACTTGAATCGTAAAGCCAGTATAAGAGTTTGTTGTGGAAAATATCTCTTTCCAGGAGGAGGCTGTGCAACTCACAATGGAGTGACCCAGTATCAGACATAGGAATTTGGAATCAGAAATCACTCCCAGTGGTTCTGTTCTAACCCTCCTTGAGGTCAGAACAATGCATCTTGATGATCTAGCAGAAGAGAGAGGGTACAAGGTGGGTGACAAGAGGGCCCAGGATATATCTGGTCTGTTAAGAGAAATAGCTCTGGGTTCTGAATCTGGCCCTACTGCTCATTAACTGTGTGACCTTGGGCAAGTTTCATAAACTCTTTAGCTTCAGTCTGTAAAATGGGAAGAACACTGAGAGTAAACATCCAGTTCATATTTCTATTACTATCATATTACCAATATTATTCTTAGCCATCTGGGAAAAAGTTAGAAAGCTAAATTTGATGTTGGTATATATCAGCCTCTCTGCTGGGGCGGAAGTAAAAAGGGTGGGAAAATTTTGGTTATAGAAGACACAGTGATAAATAAGAGAGGCAGATTAAGTACTAATATGGCAGACTTCCAATTTTAGCATTCAGGATGGAATAAGAATGGGTTCCCCCTTTCTGGAAACTTACATGTAAGTGTCTCTTCCAGATAAGTCCTGCAGAAAGCTTGATGAACACTGTCAGGGACACACAGAGCATGGCAAAGCTCAGGCACAGGTCGAAGACTTGAAGTGTCAGGTGGTACTCTTCATAGTGTGGTGGGTCCACACAAGCTGATGGGAAGTTTGCATATGGAAAAGGAAAGGCAACTGCATAACCAAGGTAATCGGTCCCTGCTATCCCTGAAAATGAGTAGAAGCAATATGGGCCAAGGAGAGCAGATTCCAAGGCTACTGCAAAATGAAGTGGACATCCCATCATACTCAGAATCACAAAGGTGAAACTAGTTTCCCACTGAAAATAAAGCAAAAACAAATTGTTACTTTGGGAACTGAATTCTTCAAAAGCTTCTCAGCAATATGAAGAAAGAAGATGTCAGGTATTAATCTCTTTTACTGGGAAGCTAAGGAGAAATGCATTGCAACTTTCTCTTTTAGGCCATTTTGTTCTCCTCTTGAATCTACAATATGGGGGAATAACATATCAGCCAACTGGGCCAAAATTGAAATGAATTCCATTCAGCAAACATGTGTTTGTTTTTCTTCTATCATATGTTGACAGCCAGTCTGGGGTGGGAAAAACAAACATGAGTGCACAGAATCCTTGCCTTATCCTAGCACCTTGCTAATCAGGGCATGGTCTATGTTCCAGCAGCATTGACATCCCTGGAAGTTTGTTAGAAATGTAGAATCTCACAGGTCACCCAGGTCTACTGAATCAGACTTCGCGTTTTAACTAGATTCCCAGGTGATTCACACGTACATTAAAGTTCGAGCCATGGGAAGACCTATGATCAGATCAAGGTAGTCTTTCTATACCATGGGATTCCTTGGCTCACGCTATTGATATGCAAGATATCATAGACTTTTCACCCTTTTTTGGGGTGGCGGGGAGAAGTAACAGAGACACTGGAAGGAGATCCCAAACTGAGCAGTTGAACCTTTAAAATACATGCTTAAAAACAGAAGAGCCTATAGATCCATTTATTCAAAATGAAATTCAGGAGCATTAATGTTGTGTTGTCTCCAAACTGGAACACTTATTTACAATAATCACAGGAGCTTGTAGAAAATGTTTGGAGAAGAAATCAGATTAAAATTATTCATTTAAAACCTAGTTTATTACTGAAATCCATCAGAGTAAGGCATCAGTCAGACAGAATTCAATGATAATTGGAAGTCAAGTTCTCTATGTTCCATCCTGAACTTGTAGAGATTTGACCTTCAAACCTATTCAACCATCCCACTCGATGTCTATATATTTACCAGGTATCTCTTGGTCCACTCTTTGTGAGCCAACAGCAGAAGTATACCAGTCATGATGGCCTGTGAGAGGGAAATGGAAAAATAACATCCGTGATAGAATGTACCTCTGGAAAGAGTTCAATCTGTCAATCTGGTTGACAACTTTATTATGAACTAGAAAGAGCAGCAAATGGCTAAATGAGTTTATGACTCAGATCTCCTCCTCATCTGGGATGACAATGAGGCCAAGAAGCCATCAGTGTCCAACAGACATGATTCATACAAGCTCATTTTTTGATTTTCTGTGCTGCCTTTGCCGTCACAATTATAACCTTCACTAGTAAGGTAAGGTGTCGCTGGCATAAAAGCTTGGCTTTATAACCCTTGCCTTATGTTTTATTTTGATTCATTGTCTACCGTTCATCTTTCTCACAAATTGCTAAAATTACAAATGGGAGGAACCGGAAAGGAAACATGTCATAGAACCCTGAAATCCTGCCCAGCAACAGCGTTATCTTTTACTTTCTGCTTTTCTTTTGAGATTCTGCAGCCTCAGCCTGCTGGTGGGATGCAAATATGCGATTCCTGTTTCTCAAGTAATAAAGAGTATAATTAGAGTGAATGCATGGTGGGACATTAATCGTTCTGGGTGCAGTGGTGTCCAGCTTTTCAAGAGGTTTTTTTTTTTTTTTTTTTTTTTTTAAAGTCTCCTCTGAGGGAAAGAGACCCAAAGTGCAGAATGAAAATAGTTAAAGAGGGAATGGTGTCACCAGAACTGAGCAATATATAATGAAAAAAAAAAAAAATTCTGGGCTCATCTTTAACTCAGCTCCGAGTCTGATGAAGGAGACCTTTGTGGTCACTGAGCCTGGAAACCACTTATTCCCTCCCCATAAATCATTTGTTCCTGGTCAAGGAATGTTTTGAAGTTAAGAGAGAAAACTAGAAAGAGATATGCCTGAAACAAGATATAGAATGAGGGCAGGACTAAAAGTAGTTACAAATTAGGTTTTTAACAGATAAATAAATATGACTGTATGTATAGTATCAATAAATTTAAGGGGAAAAAAATCAGTTTCTACTAATACGGTTTTGTGGTATGTTGTTTTTGTAGCTTCTGTGTCCAGCCTGGGTTGTTGTTGTTGTTGGAGGTGGTATTTGGTATTTTTGTTTTGTTTGTTTTGTTTTTTTTGAGATTCAGCTTTTCATTTTCCTGGCATATTTTATTTTGAATGTCCGACTTAGAGAATTGGGGGGGGGGGGGAGAAGCCCACACATGTACGCTCACACAGAACTTCTCGTGCAGCTAAGTCTGAAATTCCAGACGTGGCATTGCCATACCGTAAAACTCCAGTGGATAAAAACAGAACCATCTGTAGTCAAAGGAGGTTGGCTTGATTCTGCAAGAGGAAAGTTTCCAAGGGACCCTGTGGAGGTTGAGCCAGCATCAACAGCACAACAAAACAGGGGAATTATTAAGAGCAACTGAGCACTGATGCTGAGCCTGGGGCCGGCCTTTGCCTTCAGAGGCAAGGCCCTCTCGACTGACACGTCACTCCTCTGAGAGAGAAACCCTGGATCAAACAAGAGAAAAGCAAAAGAGACGCTCCTCTGCTGGTGTAACTCCAAGCAGATAGCTGGCATTATTAGATGCTTAGATTCCAGGTTGCCTTAACTACTTCAGCACGAACCGTTGCTTTCCTTTCAAAAGTTGAAAAATGCTGCAGGATTGCAGTGGTCTGTTATTTCTGTTGTAGCTGCCAGCTTGAATTTTGCTTTGTTTATACAAAACTTCGAAAAGATCTTTCATGGAGTAGGCTGGTGTATGAATGCCATTCAGTAACTTGTGAAATCCACCCCGTGGACGGTGGTGGCTCAGGAGCAAGCACACCCATCTTTCCTGGTGCTCCCCCCACCAACACCCCCGTCCGGTGCCTGTGAGCCAGAGGGCGAGGTGTCCCCTGAGTCACAGTCTCCCTCTTCTTGCTTTCTTTTCTTTTTCTAAAAATATTTATGTATTTATGTATTTATTTGAGAGAGAGAGAGCACACATACATGTGAGCAGGGGTGGGGGTAGGGTGGACAGAGGGAGAGAGAGTCTCCAGCAGACTCCCCGCTGAGCGCGTAGCCCCGATGCTGGGCTCCATATCACCACCCTGAGATCATGACCTGAGCCCAGAACCAAGAGTGTGACACTCAACTGACTGAGCCACCCAGACACCCTCTTTTCTTTTTAAAAACATTATTACTTGGAGAGGGAGAGGGAAAAGAATGTAAAGGAAGAGTTTTGTGGGTAGGGAAGAGAAGTCAAGTGGGAAAAGGAAATGGGAGAGGCAGTGTCTGAGAGACAAGAGCTGGGTACAGCAGGGCACTCAGGTTTCAGGAAGGGCCAGGAGGAGGTGCTTGGAAGGAAGGCCCCCCTCCTGCACTCTCCTCCCTCAGCTCTTTCTGACAGGCTAGCTTTCTGCTCCACGGGGCAGTTCCTGCGACTTGGGTTTTGCAAGAGAAGCTGCTAACACTCTAATTGCATGGGATAATTGTGAGCCCTCCCACTGAATCTTTAAATTGCTCATGTAAAGAACGCAGTTCCCAGAAGCAGATGAATTGAAGGAAGTGGGGAGCAGTCACAACAGAAATAGAAACTTGTAGAGGAATAATTTTAATATGCCCTAATTTATTAACTTACAAACATCTATTGTGGGTCTACTACGATCAAGGGATGTGATAGGCACTGTGCAGACAGCGTCGTAACAATTAACGTTTACTGAGCGCTTACTGTATGCCAAGCACGACACTAAACACTTGACATGTGTTAACTCATTTAATCCTTACAATGATGGAGATTTCCTCCTACTTTTTAAACGAGGCACAGAGAGGCTAAATTGGATGAGCAAGCTCACCAAATAATAATTATAGATATAATGGTTCCAACTTCCACAGGAATTTACAGTCCAGATGTGAAAGTAATGCACTTAGAAGAACGTCCACCAAATGCGGCAAGAAGAGTGAGTGCTTTCCGTGCAACAAGAGTCCAGTGACAAGATACCACTTCTGGGGGAAGGATCGCTGATGAAAGCACCATGGGGGAAACAGGAGCCGAAGCAGGTTTAGAGGGTGGATGTGATTTCAGCGGGAGATGATGGCAGAGGGAAGAGCAGTCTGGGCAGCTCAAGTAACACGTGCAAACGTGGGAACATAGCAGCCAAGCTTGGGCAGACAGTGAGACAGGCGCCCAGATGGGAGGCAGGGCTGGTTCTGGGCACAAACGAGTAGGAAATCAGGCTTGAAAGCCACATGAGGCCAGGTCAAGAAGGGCCTGGAAATTCAGGCTAACATATCTGAACTTTGTTTGGACAATGAAGCAATATTGAAGGTTCTTGAAGAAGGAGCCTTACTGACGCAGCAGAGGTTTAGAAAGATGAGCCTGTCGTCATGTGCATGTTAGGTGGGGATGCAGGGAGGCCTAGGTGTCTCTGTAGGAACTTGGTCTTCAAACTGGAAACAAATTTTTTTTTTACTATTATTTTTTTCAAGATTTTACCTTTTTTTAAGTAATCTCTATACCCAGTGTGGGACTCAAACCTACAACCCGAGATCAAGAGTCGCTCACTCCACCGACTGAGCCAGCCAGGCGCACACACCCCCCCGCGCCAATTTTTTTTTTAAACCTCTGTCCATAGCAAGAAATATATTTTGCATCATGGCCAAGTTAAATTTTATATCTAACCAAAATCATAATACCGTTATTATGTGTGATACACTCTGATTCTCTTCTCTTCTCTTCTCTTGTCTTCTCTTCTGTTCTATCCTATCCATGTTTTATAAATGCTGCTAGTTACCCAATAGATTGATTTTATAACTCATTAATGAATGGGTTCCCACAGTTTGGCTATTGAGGTTATCTAGGCATAAGACCTGGATGGGGGTGAGAAGTGATAAGGAGTTAGGGGGGAGCTGGTTCACAGTGAGAATGAGAGGAAAGCATGCACAGGGATATGCTTCACAGGAAAAATAAAAGTTAGCTGGCAACGGACTGGATGCGGTGGGGTAGGAGTGGGGCTGAGGGTAGGTTGGTTTAGGGCACTGTTGCCCAGAGCACAGTCCTAGGACCAGCAGCATTGGCATCCCTTGGAAACTTGTGAGACAGGCAGAGTCTCAGGCCTCAGCCCAGATTTACTGAATCGGAGTATACATTCTGACAAGATCCCCAGGTGATTCATATGCACATTACAGTTTGAGAAGCACCAGTTTGGGGAGGGAAGGATTGAGTCAAAAGTCACCCTAGGGTTTGAAATTGGGTTCAGAACCAGGAAAGTCAGGAGAAGAAATCATTGCTTTTGGTGGTGATATGATTTTGGGGGGAGAAGCCGAGCTTAAAGAAGCTTAGGCTATCAAGGGGCACCTGGGTGGCTCAGTCGGTTAAGCGTCTGCCTTCAGCTCAGGTCATGATCTCGGGATCCTGGGATCGAGCCCCGTGTCAGGCTCCCTGCTCAGCGGGGAGTCTGCTTCTCCCTCTCCCTCTGCCCCCCACCTCTCTCTCTCAAGTAAATAAATAAAAATCTTTACAAATAATTAAAAAAAGAAATTTAGGCTATCCAAGTGGAAAATTGGCCATCAGGTGTTTGGAATCACAGGACTGTTGAAGCTGTAAGAGGCTCAAGTGTTGGTATAAGCAAGTCCCTTCTGTGACTGAGCAGGGCACTGGGGCCTTTCTCCCAAGTTCCTGTCTCCAGGCAGGATTCTGGGTGTAGCACAGCTGTCTGCCATTAACTAAGTCCCTGGAGTTGCCAAGCCACGTTCTCCAGGATTCAAGTGGAGCCCAGTCCTTAAGGCACTGACTCTCCTTGCTGCATACTTTCTAGCAGCTGATGCCTTTAAATAACCTAGTTCAGAAATTGTAGGAAATCTGCTTATCACGTCGCTGTCAGAAGAGAGCTAGGAGAGTCTGAGGACCAATATTTGCGAAGAATTTAGAAAGTCAGGAATGAGAGCACTGAACAAATACAAAATACTGTATCACTTCTAAAATCTTTTGAAGTCTCAAAAGAGATATGGAGCCTTTTGCAAAAGGAAATATCAATATGATTGAAATGTACAAATCGTCTTTCCGCCAGAGGAAGATTCACTCTGCAGGCAACTTAAGAAGTGACTGGTAGGGGCACGTGGGTCGCTCAGTTGGTTAAGCGTCTGACTCTTGATTTTGGCTCAGGTTATGATCTCAGGGCTGTGAGATGGAGCATCGGCCCTGAGCTCAGTGGGGTGTCTGCTTGGGATTCTCTCTCTCTCCCTCTGCCCTGCCCTCCATGCCCCTCTCCCTCTCTCAAACAAATAAATAAATCTTTAAAAACAAAACAAACAAACAAACAAAAGTGGTAGAGAAGGTTGTGGAATGAGTCAGAGACCTTTTGAAGTTGACCCTGATCAGATAGAACTGTGGTTCACTAGGAAACTCACCAGAAAAAGAAAAAAATCACATTGTTCCAAACTTAGACATCATTAAAAGAGTGAGCATTCTTATTGCTTTCCTTCTCCTGAGGATTTTTTTTTACTACTTTAGTATAAATACCAGCTTGACTTTTAGTCCTTGCAACCTAATCAGAGTTCAATGGTGTGAAAAATTTTGTACCACCAGAGCATGGGACTCATTCACTTATTCAACCATATTTATTGAACAATATTTATTGAACACTTAGTATGTGACTCACTCTGTTCCAAGTGCTGCAGGTATAGCAGTAAACAAAAAGAAAAAAAAATCCCCACCGTTGTATAATATACACTTTTTGGGAGGGGTATAAACAAACAATGAATAAGTACATTATATAGTATATTAGATGGTAATAAGGGCCATGGGGGAAAGAATAGAACAGGGAATGAGAAATTGGGGATGCCAGGTGTGGGGGAGATTTACAATTTTAAATAGGGTAATGAGGGTAATGAAGGACGGCATCAAGGAGAAAGTGACATATCTTCAAAGAATTAAAGGAAGTTAGGGAACATGCCATGTGTGGGAAGAGGCTTCAGGCAGAGAACAGATAGTGCAAAGGCCCTGAGGCAAATAACAAACCTTGGAATATTTGAACACACCAAGGAGCCGTGTGATGGCTAAGGAAATGGAATGAGTGAGGGGAAGGGTGGTAGAGATGAGGTCCTGGGAGGTAACAGGATGGGGAAACTCAGCTGTTCATCAGGAAATGGAATGGGAAAGTGAGCGGATGGCAAGAGATTAGGAAGGAAGGGCTGGGCACTGATGGGATTCAGGACAAGTGGCCCCCAAGTATGTGACTTTGGCATATTGATTATTTTGAATTAAAGTTATTTAGGAAACAACAGGTGCAAGAAGAACACTGACTCTCCTCTCTCCCCCTGAAAGCAGGAAATGAATTCCCCATGTGAAGGGTACCCTCCCTGCACTGGAGGGTAGAAGTTTTCCTCCCTCACAGCACAAACGAAAGGCAAGGTATTAACTAGCATGTGTGTAGAGCTTTAACACTGGTGAAGCCCTTTATTATACAAGCTTTGTTCAAATTTGGTCATTCTCACTGAGCATCTTAGGGTCAGATAGTGTCACACGGACTCTCTTACCTGCAAAATCCCTCATGTTCTAGGTAAAAGCAATGAAGAACTAGCTGAGTGAAGGTCCTGCTCTTGGCCATATGCCAAGAATGTCAGAATCAGGACTTGAACATAGGCTCCATCTCCTCAGTCTTACCTTTTGGATTCCAATTCCCCATGCTGTCAATCTCGGAATCAAACAGCCACCAAGTATCTGTGCCGGACACAGATCTTGTCATTTCTCTGGGTCTAACCGATAAAACAGATCTTGGTATAGAACAAACCTATATTCAATAATTTTTGATCCTAATCAAATCTCAGTATCTGTTGAATGTTCTATGATAGACAGCAGGGATAGACAAAGAATTTAGAAAAAGGGATACAGAGTTGGACTAGAATTGTGGTTTTGTTAAACTTTGGGTCAGTTCTGAAGTCAGAACTAAAAAAAATTAATAGAAAAGAAAATATCAGACGTCGTTTCACACAGAAGGCTAAATATTGTTTTGTGAAACTTTTGTTATATAGATTTAGTTATATGTATATATCAAAATCTATCTATTTACCTAGAGAGAATTTTAGGGATGTATTTATGTACATTCTAGGTCCTGATATAAAATGTTTTTCCTAATCTTTGCATTCCAGTAGATGTGTAATAAATATTTCTTTGAATGAACGTATGGCTTCAGGTGGGAGATGGGGTAAAGAGCAGATGAGCAAGACTGGGGAGGCAGATGTAAAAGAATGTATTAGAAAAGAAAAAAAAAAGAAAAACACCATCCCACACTTTCCTCATTCAGTTCCACATTCCCACCATTCTGTTTTCTCCCATCTACTCACCATCCTTGAACCCCACTAGATAAAGTTTTTTAAAAATTGAGACCTTGTTTGTTTGTCTGTTTACCATTGTAACTGAAGCACGCAGTAGACTATCAGTACATATTTATTTAATAAGTAGATTAAAATTATATGTTCTAAGGTCTTACTTTTAGGTGATATCCCAGTAAAAGCTGTGTTTTTTTTAAGACTTAAATGTTAGTGTGTCCCCTTGTGACAGCCTCTCTCAAGAGTGGCTACATTTTAATAGAAAACTCCTAAAGATCAAAAGGCCTTTAAATTTGAAATTCTCTAGAGTCCAATGGTGAATGTAAGGCATCACAGGAAGCAATGAGAGAAGGATTTGTTGCAAGCCTCTGTAACTCCCCTTAAACCATACCACCATAGAAGACATCAATTTGCAAGGCTAGATGTGTTCATTTCTTTGACCCAGAGAGCTGGGGTACCAGCCCAACCCTTCATTTGTGCAGTCATTCAGTCAGCAGACACAGAACACCTACTTGGTGCCGACTTGTACTTGGCCTGCACACCCTTTCCTCATGAACTGCGACGTTCGAGAGGTACATCACCCAACTTCTTGAATGACCTTCAGTTCACACAGTTGCATGTGAGGACAAATGTGGGAGAACTAAGATTTGGGGCTTGCAAATCTTGGATCACGTCGATACACCTCAGTGTTTCTAGTGAAAGCGTTAGTCTGAAAATTATTTTTGTTCCCCATTTTTACATTATTTTTTATGGTTTACATTTTTTTTCTAAATTCAGATCTCACAAGAGAGGTTCCAATTTCTCAGAATACCAAGGTGACAAGAGTAAAATAGCTTTTTAAGACTTCTCTGTATTGTTGGAAAACCTAAAAAGGACATGTATTCTTTTTCTTTTTTCCCTCCCACCTTTCCTTATTCTCTCAATATATGTAATAAAATATTTTCCTACCAAAGCTCCATTCCAGATGGGACAAGCAATCCAGACACTCCATCCGGTGAACCAAAGCTTGTAAGAAAAGACAGGGAAGAAAGCGATAACTCCAGAGAATACACTGAGAGCCCCCAGGGAAATGAGAATTCGGCCAGCAGCCTTGTATAGGCTCTGCATTTTCCTCTGTGACCTGGGTCCTCGATCTCAAAGATGTTTTGTTACCAAAACATGAGGGTATGTCAGGCCTCAGTAAACAGAAGTTTCTTAGAGACAGTAGCCATGACACATGTGGACTGTTGATCTACTTGGAAACAAGCTTCTATTTGTTTCACCAAAGATAATAACATGTAATGAAATAATCCCTGACATAAATCTGATACAATAAATTCTAGTACTAGTTTACTAAGAGAGAGAGTGAGTGAGTGAGAGAGAGAGAGAGAGAGAGAAATCGTTCCTTGTTTTGGATTACCGCCTCCATTCCCTTCATTCTGCCCTGACGTGGGGAGTGCCCACTTCCTGGCTTAATCAGATTCAAAGGCTTGCTGACTGAGCTAATTGTTTCTCAACTCAACCTGCCTAGTGGTTCCAGCATAAAGCCAACATCCTTTGTGCACAATAGATCCACATTCCCAGCACAATTTCCCACAAAACAAAGTAAAAATAAGCACTCTGATCACTTTTCATTACATCTAATTTAAATGATTTAGAGCAAAAACAAGACCTCTCCCCATCTTTCAAAGTTCAATTCTACTACAATTTTTAAAAAATTTTTGGTAAAGATTTTTGACATGGTTTCATTCCCAAAGAAGCATAGGCTTCATTATGGAGTTCTGTCTTGTTTTCATGAGACCAGCTTTACCTTATTTTACTATTAATTCAATTATCAAGTAGAGGACAAAGATGGAAGTGTATGCAGTTGTAAAATAAACTTCGAGGAGTAATTTATTAGTTGAATAAAATACAGATCTCTAATCATTCTTGAATCATAATTCAAATTTTATTTTATTTTATTATTTATTTATTTATTTTTAAAGATTTTATTTATTTATTTGAGACAGAGAGAATGAGAGAGAGAGCACATGAGAGGGAGGAGGGTCAGAGGGAGAAGCAGACTCCCTGCCGAGCAGGGAGCCCGATGCGGGACTCGATCCCGGGACTCCAGGATCATGACCTGAGCCGAAGGCAGTCGCTTAACCAACTGAGCCACCCAGGTGCCCCATAATTCAAATTTTAGATATTGGGCTTATGTACATTTAAGCAACTGTCAAAGTTTATTTCTTAATTCCTCACGCATTTGAGAAAGTGGTACCTATTTGCTTTTGACTATTAGGACATGTTTTCCTCTACTAAGATAACATCTTGAAAACACAGACCACTTTCTGAAGCTACCTGAATAATTTTCCTGTTCAATATTAATGCCTTTTCCCTTAAATGAGATGATAAAAATAATTTTTTGGATAGAAATGCAGTGGTTTAGAACATGGATTTTGGCATGAGACAGAGCTAGGATCCATTATCTGCCAGGTATGTGTCCTTGGGCAAGGGCAAGTTACTTACCTTTCTAGGTCTGTTTCTTCTTATGGGAATAAAATTAGTGTTTATCTCACCAGGTGGTGATTGAGAAAACGAAATGAGGCAATCCATGTAAAATGCTCAGCACCAAGCTCTGCATAGCAAAGAAGCTTCGTCCTTTCCCTATTGTTACACTGGGCGGCCCATCTTTGAAGTTCTTTCAGCAAAGGACAGAGGCACTGTGGTTACTACTGCTTTTATGCATCATCTTATCGCATCTTACTGTCTCTTACGCAGCTCCCAAAGGACCCTTCCATGTCCCACGAGGAGGGAAGCTGCTCTCGGAGCCTCTGCTTTTTTTTCTTTCTGTCTTTCTGCCTTTAATAGCCATTCCACCGTGTGACCCCGACTTTGAAGCCATTGCTTTGCTGGGTATACAGGACCCAGGAAAGCAGCTCAGGCTTTCTGCTACAGCCATTTTTTCCCATCTGCTCTCAACACTGTGGGAGTATATTCTCTCTCTCTTTCTTCCTCATGCCACTAGGTAGGTTCCACGAGGGGAGAGGCCTTGTAAGCCTTATGCATCCCCTAGATGTATAAGACGTTGTTGCCAACACCTAGACTCGGGTCTGGCCCAGAGTAGGTACTTTTTTTTTTTTTTTAAAGATTTTATTTATTTATTTGAGACAGAGAGAATGAGAGACAGAGAGCATGAGAGGGAGGAGGATCAGAGGGAGAAGCAGACTCCCCACTGAGCAGGGAGCCCGATGCGGGACTCGATCCCGGGACTCCGGGATCATGACCTGAGCCGAAGGCAGTCGCTTAACCAACTGAGCCACCCAGGCGCCTGCCCAGAGTAGGTACTTAACACACATTTGTTCAACTCATGAATGACTGCTCCAGACTTTCCAGCTGGGCACTGTGGCCCCGAGGGTGTGCCCCCACCCAGAGCTATGTGTGTCCAGCACGCTGCTGCGTGCCAATGTTAGTGGGTCCCCTCGTGACAGAGGGAAAGGGTCTGGGCTGCAGAAAGACTTGTTTGTGTTAGCATTTGGTTTGGGCTGTTTTGACTTTTTCCTTCACTTTTTATCTCAAGGTTATAGCTACGGGACATGTCAATATACTGTGGGTCAGATCACTCTCCTCTGTTTGCATGTTTGGAAAATAAAGACTGTTGAAATACTCATGTTAAACAGTACAAAGATGGCAAACATAAGAGAATATTTTTTGCTCTAATCTGGGGGGGCTCTTTTAGTGTTTGTAACACTGACAGGCTAACCCTGACATTGCCGGGGTGACTTACGAACCGGAGTGTACTCATGATTAGAAGCGTCCTTGCCCCTTAATGTAACGAAGAGAAGGGACAGAGGTAGAGCTAGGGATTTCTCCATGGGTATTTTCCCAGCCACCCCTTCCCACAGGAATCTGTCCGCACTCATTTCCTTAAAGCATAGAGATTTTCAGGGAGGGCAGCTACTGGGAAAGAAGAAAATATAATTCTGCTTCTGACCAGGGCTTCCTCTCAGCTCGGCCATGTCATCTGTGTTCCCCAGTGTCTGCAGCCAGCAAGGCTCACAGAGCCCCTGCCCCCCTCCAGGGCCCCTGGCCCCTCCAGGGCTCTCTGCTTCCCCTTCAGCACTGCTGGAAGGTACGTCTGCAATCCTCTGTGAAGGTGGTGGAGTCAAGATCTTTGCTGGCTGCTTTGCAGACCCTACCTTCCTTCTTATCCAAGGGGGTCCAGCAATCTTTGCTCAGGAAAGAATGGCAGAAATTGCACCAAACTCTTCAATCCATCTTTGCCACAGAAGAAAGAAAGAAAGAAAGAAGAAAAAAGAAAGAAAGAAAGAAAGAAGAAAAAAGAAAGAAAGAAAGAAAGAAAGAAAGAAAGAGAAGAAGGAAGGAAGGAAGGAAAGAAAGGAAAGAAAGAAAGAAAAAGAAAGAAAGAAAGAAAGAAAGAAAGAAAGAAAGAAAGAAAGAAAGAAAAGAAAGAAATGTAATCAAAAGAGATGGGATATGTCAGTGATGCTGACTGAGGGAGAGAAGCTGATTTGGACACTCTCTACCTCTTTATTTTATTTATTTATTTATTTTTAAAAGATTTTATTTATTTATTTGACAGAGAGAGAGAGATCACAAGTAAGCAGAGCGGCAGGCAGAGGGAGAGGGAGAGGCAGACTCCCCGCTGAGCAGGGAGCCCGATGTGGGGCTCCATCCCAGGACCCTGAGATCATGACCTGAGCTAAAGGCAGACGTTTAACTGACTGAGCCACCCAGGTGACCCTCTGTACCTCTTTAGATATGTTCCTTTACATGTGAGCCCTGGAAATAGCTCTGCATGTGTTACAGTCTCAGGTTTTTTGTTTTTTTTCTTTTTTAAGTAGGTTTCAAAGTTCCAGAAGGGGTCTGTCTTTGCCAAGATGAAAGAGAATGGAGCTCTAAACAAGAGATGAAATGAAAATGCTTTATTGTCCTAGCAGCTTCAGGTGACTCGCTTCATTTGTTTACGTAGTATAGAGACGTAGCTCCTGTAGCAGAAAGAGCATGAACTTTGACATCAGAAAGACCTGGGTTTAGGACTAAGGATTCCATCTAAGACCTAAAAAAGGAATGAAAAATTAGAATATTAACACTCTGCTAACCCCAGTGCAGTAACCGTTTCAAGCACAATGGAAAATGATAGCTCTACAATGGAAAATATGGAAGTCACCACCTGAACCAAGTGATCAGACTTGATATCACCAACACCAGGACAAAGGGACATCACTGCCTCCTGATAGGATATAAGGAAAGCACACACCATCATGTGCATAGTGTTTTTGGCAAACATGTTTAGCCTGAATCTAATCACAAAGAAACAATCAGACAAATTCAGATTACAGGGACACTTTAAAAAGCACTAGCCTGGACTCTTCAAAAATTGTCCATGTCACGAAAGATAATAAATATTGCTGAGATATTTGGGGAAATTTAAATATGGGTTTTATGGGGCACCTGAGTGCCTCAGTCGGTTGATCATCCGACCCTTGATTTCAGCTCAGGTCATGATCTTAGGGCTGTGGGATGGAGCCGCGCATCGGGTTCTGCGCTCAGCTCAGAGTCTGCTGGAGAGTCTCCTCCTCTGCCCCTCCCCCTGCTCTCTCTCTCTCAATAAGTCTTTTAAAAAATAATAAAATAAAAATAAATATGGATTTTATAGTAGATAATCGTGCATCAATGCTGAGTATCTTGGGAGTATGAATGACATGATAATTATATAAGAGAATGTCCTATTGGTGAAACTAGTTAAGTTAGCGTTCTTTATGCTTTTTTCAACTTTTCTATTGGTCTGAAATTTTTAAATTAAAATGTTGGAGAACAAAAGGAAAAACAATAGTTTTGTGAACTGCATAAAACGAAGGGTCTAACTTTTACACAGACATACAGCCACGCTGGCTCAATAATCCCCGAGAATATTGACGCCTGTGGGTCACAGTGTAAGGAGTGTCGGGAAAAGCTGCTCTGGCCCCCCATCAGCATCAACATGACACCTGTCTTTCTCGAATAGGGATGATGCAACAGGTATGTTAGGTTACACTGTGAAGGTGAACCACTCTTGCAGACACATTGATGGGTATTGTTTATATACTCTTGTCTTTCCAGCTATTCCAATTTCTTTACTGGTTTAAAAACCTTTCTAACGCTCCTTCATAATGCACATTTCCTTCTGCTTTTTACTAGCTGTTCGACTTCAACTTTGAGTGAACCCTCTCTTCTCATAATGGCTTGGGGTTTAAGGAGAGCAAAGTTCAATTTTTATCATCCCGAACTGGGAATTGTCAAATTTAAAGCCTTCCAATCTGCAAGATGTTTGGACCCAAATAGAGATTTGTGCATCAGCTTGTACTTACCTAGTTTAGACGTTATCTGCCTTTTGTATATCTGACCCTCGGATGTGTTTTGCAATCATCTGGAATTTATCAGAATTTTCCCATGTTTTTGCAAAGCAAAACAACTTAAGTGTGTCACCAGCAAACGTGTGCAGCTCGCTGTCAGTTTGCTCTCCCAAGCCCTGCAGCTGCAAGGAAATGCTCTTATTGGCAGACTTGACCTCACCAGGCAGCCTCCCACAGGCTACTGTGGGGATTGTCTGTCTTTTGGGAAGGCTGCTCCTATCTTGTTTAATCATGGACTAGAAGGGCTGCAGATAGAAGTGAGATCGTGACAGCAGCTATGACTGATCGGTGCTCTGGCCACCAAGGAGCGGGGGAAGACACTAAGAAAACAGGAAGAGAGAAACAGTGGGGGTGTCTGGGGAAGAGAGGTGGAGAGAAGATGGAGAGGAAAGAAGAACAACAAGAGAGGAGTCAGAACATAGAGGAAAACATTCCTGAAGCCAAAAACAGCTTCTTGCGTCACTCACAGATCCAAAGCCTGGGTCTGGACAGAGTTGATTCCGGGACAGAGGAGCAATGGAAGCCACGGGCCACTCGTGTGCATTTTACAAAAGATACTTGTAGGGCGGACTAAAGGGAAATGAGTAGAGGGAAAGGGCAAAAAACAAAGCAAAACAAAACAAAAGGGGATGAGAAAGAAGGAGGTCTAAGTATCCTGAAATGTTCTCAGGTTATGCTTGTTTTTAAGTTGCTTTTAGGGACAACCTTTAAATCCTCTTAAATAGGAAATGTATATTCATTTAGTTCCTTCTCTTGGCATTTTTGAAAAGGAAAGAACCAAACTGTTCAGTGAGAAACTAAACATACTTTTGGATCCAAATATATCCACGTAAAAGGCACAAGAGAGGCAGGAATGGTGAGGATGGGTTCACTAAAGCCCTCTACAGTTGTCATTATTTTTTCCATTTTACAAATGACAAAGCTGAGGTTCTAAGGCGTAAATAGTGAAGGTGATAACAGCTAATCAGTGTTGAATCCTGGTTTTGAACCTACAATGCTTGACTCCGAAGTCTGTAATTTTTGTTTTCCACTATCAGATCAGGACATAGGTGTACTACACCTTTTAAAACATGTATGCATAGATGAAAATTGATCCATGACATATACCAAATAGGGCTGTACTCACCCAGGACATAATAGGAATGGAGATGATGCTGCATGTGCACAAAGGAAACATTTTTTAGAACTGCTGATTCTACTCCCAGTTACAGAGACAGAGACAGAGAGAGACAGAGACAGAGAGATATTCCTCGCCCTTTCTTTTTATAAAATTAGGACAAATGGGAGAACCACAACCAAAGTTTCATTCCTATGTATTGAAGGAAAACTCTGGACTTTCTATCTAGAGCATTGCTGGTCTAGTTTTCCATTTCTCAGTGCTCCATGTGTGTGCTCTTGACCTTCGTGTGGAGATGGACTATGCTGGTTGTTGCATGCATTGTTCCTGTATGGCTGGCCGAGGGGGCATAGGCTAAAACAAATGAGTGAGATGAGGAGCAGTGTAATGCAGTAGGAAGAGACTCTGGCTGTGTGACCTCGAGTAAATCAAAACCTCTCGTAATCTTGGTGTCCTTCTCAGCGACATGTGGAGGTTAGACTAGATAATTTCTCAGATTCCTTCCATATCTCAGATTCCATGCCTTGAAATAAATCCCCAAGGAGCTAAAGTGCCTGCATGGCCAAAATGCCTGTCCCCCAGAAACCTTTATCAGTGAAAGTGTTATCTCCTGGAGGACTGGGAACCACCATCTGGATCCACCGCTGGCTGGTAGAAGCAATGGAAACTAAGCCGGCGCTGTACATGGTCTCTTGGCCAACCGGATTCCTGCGGGAGAGATTTCATGTAGAGTTCCTCCACGGAGGCCTCCCTCTGCCCTCCTGGCACACAAATAGGCAGCCAGGAGGCCAGCATCCACCAGCTGGGAGCCGGTGTCCACCAGCTGCTTAGTCAACAGCCTTTGAGTCACAAATTGGTGATCTCAGCCCAGCTCTGGTGACTGTGTCATAAGATAATTAGAACTTGTCAGCCAACACAGCAGAGGCCTGGAAGGGCAAGGACTGAAGGAGCATAGAGCTAAATCACTCTTTTCTAGCTCCTTGAAAAGGGATGCAAAACTGGGAGGGAACTGCTAACATCTGAAGTCATGGAGTGACTAGTGTAGGTGGATGGAGAGGTGAGAATTCAGTGAGGATCTGGGCATGCACAGAACTCAAAGACCAATCCCCATCCACAGGTTGAGAGTGACCAGTAGGGTTAATGTCTCTAAATCAGGTTGTTTTTGTTTTGTTTTGTTTTTTTTTTGAGAGAGAGAAAGCACAGGAGGGGGTAGGGGCAGGGGGAGAGGGAGAGAGAATCTTAAGTAGGCTCCACACCTGGTGCGGAAGCCCCACTGGGGCTTGATCTCACGACCCTGAGATCATGATCTGAGCCGAAATCAAGAGTCAGATGCTTAACTGACTGAGCCACCCAGGCACCCCTCTAAATCAACTTCTGATTGGCCAGGAAACAAAGTCCTTACTCTATTTTCCAAGCAATGGTTAAAATATTAGGAACCTCAGTTTTCTGTATATTTATAATGCAGGAAAGCAAGGTGAGCTAAAAATGGTACAACAGTTGATTCACTCCCTCAATTCATCCAGGTCTCTGCTCAAAATCCCCTCATCACAGACCTTTCTCATCAATCTCTTTCCCCCTCCCTCAACTGAGCTTACTCATTACCACCTGACTTGATTCTTCATCGCTCTTGGCTCATCTGTTTACTGTGTGTCTTCCCAACTAGAATGAAAGCTCCATGAAGTAAGGACTTTGTTTTGTTCACTGCTACATTCCAGAGCCCCAAACAATACCTGGCCCATAGTAGATGCTTAAGAAGCATTGATGAATGAATGGATGGATGGATGGATGGATGAATGAAGCTGCTTATCACTAGTTTATCTAGACCATTTTGCTGACAAAGCTAGCTCCTCAGGCCTTCACTTAGAAACAATTAATGTTTTGGTACCTTAAATCTCTCCATCCCCTCTCCATCAAAATCCACACCGAAACACAAAGGAAATCTTCCAGGTTAGCTCGCTCAGCTGTGAGACCGCACTGTAAATACACGTGCGTTGTATGTGAATATATGGGAGAGGCGTGCCCATGCTGGGATTATTCTGGCCTTGCTATATGGGCATGTGACATACCGCCACATGACTCTGTGTTAAATAGAGGAAGACTCAAGGTCACAGACCAACCGCGTGAGTCTAGCCAGAACTTCCGCCTCTGGGGGAAAGCTCTAAGGATGATGCCAACTTTTTTAAAGCAGCTCATGTTCACTGGTGATCTGTCTAATAGAATGGCTTTTACGTATTTCTGTATATTCAAAGTTTTATCTACTGCTTCGTCTGAGTACTTTTCATAGATAACAAGTATTTTCCCCTACTCTCTAGAAAAATGATAGCAAAGATATTAAAATTTTTATTCATGAGGGACGCCTGGGTGGCTCAGTCCAGTAAGCGGTAAGCTTCTGCCTTCGGCTCAGGTCATGATCCCAGGACCCTGGGATCAAGTCCCGCATCGGGCTCCCTGCTGAGCTGGGAGTCTGCTTCTCCCTCTGCCCCTCCCCCCACTTGTGTTCTCTCTCTCTCTCTTTCTCTCTGGAGCTCTCTCTCAAATAAATAAAATCTTTAAAAAAATTAAAAAATAATAAAATAAAATTTTTATTCACAAGAATCTGATTATACAAACTAATACTCCTATTGTATTTCCACACAGATGATATTGTGATCTTTTCTGAGCTAGGACAACTGACTAAGTGCATCGTTCTGATATAAGGAATTGGGTAGCCTAGGACAAACATTGCTTACTTTTACCAGATGATGGTATCGTTTTTGTATACAAAGGCCCGCACTTTCCTTTCTCTTTTCAACAATGCAGATGTCCTGCCCTGGTTTTTATTTATTTATATATTTATTTTAAAGGGGCGGGGGAGAAAAGGGCATTTCCTGATACTTCCCCATCTCCTTGTCCCAGTACATAGCCTTTCTGTTACTTTCTCTTGATCCACCCAAAGCTAATTGATATTAAAGTTAACAGCTAGGCTACTAGGCATGCCTCCTTGATCCAACAGACAAGTTCACTAAAAAGCATGTGGGGCAATGAGAATGAAAAGTACACAGTAACGACCCAACTGGAGAATCAGAGAATGGAACGGGACCTGAGAGATCAGCCAGTCCACGCCTGTCATTTCACAGACTAATTCCACGGTTAAAATACCCAAACAAAGAACTGTCTAACTGCAACCTTCACCTATAGTTCAATAAGCCCGCTGCGACTGACAATCTTTCTGCTATATCCACGTTTAGCACTAGGTGTTGCTCTATGCTATTTCTAGACCCGATTTCTTTGCTGCACAACAGAAGCTGAGCCTCCTAATCTGAGTTCCATTCTGCAAATGCTGTCTTTAAGATGAAACCCTGCTAGTATTTGGTATGTTTCCCGGAAGCAGCTTCATTTAAATGGCTCAGGTGTGGCATACTGAATCCGCTGAAACAGCCGCTCTGGAGAGAAGGGGATCGATACATGCCAGGGAAAGGGGACTCCAAAGTCAGTTTTCAAATTGTCCTAATTCAAATATTTACTTAAACTCTGTTTTTATATTATGTGCAACACAAGGGGAATGACATTGTTGCTGTGTGTTTCCTGGAACTGACTGTCTGCTACAAGGCCACAGATAAAGTTTGTTTATAGAAAAACAAAATATGAAAAAGGAAAGTTTAGCACTGTTCTATTTGGGGTTTAATACTCCCACACATCCCAAAGGGGAGGAAGGACAGCTTTCTAGAATCTTGCTTTCCCCATGGCAGCCAAGGACAGAAATGCTTTAACCCCCTCTAGTGACAGATGCATCATTACTTAGATTAGTTCAGTTGTTCATTTTGAAAGGTAATGCCATAGGGAGAAACAGGTCCTGCTTTAAGAATTTCATTGTTTAGGAAGAGGGCAAATTTTCAATTCACCTTTAAGTTTTAAAGGGAATGAAATTCAGCTATTAAAGATAAATCTTTAACATTATTACTCAGTGGTTTCAACTTGGATAAATATTTTTTTAAAGGTTTTATGTATTTATTTTTGAGAGAAAGAGACAAAGAGAGAGTGCATGTGAGCAGGGGGAAGGGCAGAGGAGGAGGAAGAGAGAATCTGGAGCAGACTCCGCACTGAGCACAGAGCCCGACACGGAGCTCAATCCCACAACAGCGAGATCATGACCTGAACTGAAACCACGAGTCGGAGGCTTAACGAACTGAGCCAACCAGGTGCCCCTCAACTTGGATAAATTTGACATAAACTCAGTATAAATGTTCAAGTTCTACAAGTCTAATGTTATAATCATCTAATACTTAGTTTAAAATCATCATGCATGTAACAAAACAATGTCTAGTACATTGTTGCTAAACATGTTTTTTTTTTTTTTTCCAGTTTTGGTTATTTACCAATAACTATGTGTAATACCAATAATCAGGCAATGATGTTTATAACAGTCCTAGATTTTTAGCAGGAAGGAAAATGGAAGAAGGAAGCCAGAGTGGAAGCATCCTAATCCCATTACTAAGCTTAGCGTAGAGGGAGAGATGTAGCTCACACAAAGTTAGCTGCTAGGATCCATAATATAAACTCTTCAGTCTAGTCCTAAAGAGAGGGTTCCTTCCAATTTTTATAGTTCAGGCCTTAGGCTGAAAAAACTAAGTACTTGGCTGAAGTGTGACTTTCTTATAAAATGTTCTTTTCAGCTTTCTCCCCAGCACAAACCAGCCTTTCTTTTCTGAAGATTCTATTTCCTTTACATTCTTTGAGGATAAAACTATGCATTGTGGTTTTTATACCACATTCACTTAGGATATTTCAAAACAGAGTGAATTCCACTTTTTCTTCCAGTTCTCTCTTCACAGAGGTTCCCCTTTCCTCGCTCCTGATAGCCTCGATGATGATGTAAAGTAGTATCCCCTAGGATCTTTGCACTTCATTTGTTATGCCCTGTATTAAAGATGGGCAACTTTTCAAAAGGGATAGGTCAGACTCCTGATTCATGTTCTTGTAAATGTGGGGTCAGAGGCGTTTATGTGTTAGGAAAATGGTCTATTTCCTATAAAAGGAAGGGAGAGAAGAATTTTTGAAAGCATCCATTTTGGAAATCATGTTTTTAGTGAGTGGCAGGAAGGCAGAGGCACCATGTGGTAGACGCTGAGGAAGTTTCTGCCATCTTTAGTCAGACCCACTTTTATATGGACCATTTTTGGTAAGTCTACCGGCATGTGTAGGGGGAAGAAACATAAGAGCTATTAAAATAGATTTGTCATTTCCACACACAGACATGCATACACGAATCACAAAATGCTTACCCTTTGCTTTTTCTTAATGCTAAACTGACCAAAGTTGTTTTTTTTTTTTTTAATGCCCTTTATGAGCTCTTCTAGTGTCATCCGCTAATTTCTTCCATTGCTTTTTATTCTCCAAACAGGTTACACTTGCATAATTCCAAAAAGGTGAATAGAGCTCCTGCTCTTGCTTAAGATTGTTTCCAGCCTAGCTTAACAAGCTCTAGTTTTTAAGTTCGTTCCAAGATTGAGACAAAAATCTCTCTACCAAAAGCAAAATAAAAGACAAATTCCTATGCTTTTGCCTCATTTCATGTTTTATTATCCTATGTTTCCTAATTATACATTCTGTAAATAAGAAATGGGCACATGTTCTATGGACGGGAAGCATGGTTACGTGGTTAACGCAAGTTGCGCTCTCTACAAGACGTCCATTTTAGGCCACATGCAATTTATATGTTTTCTCCTCTCTTGATAGAGAAAAAGGAAAAAAAAAACAACAACCCTGGAAAACATTATAGAACCCAACTATATGCCTTTTGGGGCCCATGAGAAAGCATAAGTTTCTACCCCTCCCAGCAGTGTTGGAGCTAGCCTGCACTGAAGCCTGGGGATGTGCTTGCTGAGGTCCACAAGTGAGAAAATGGAGTGATGACGGCAGACCATATTATTGCATGGTGCTACTAAAAAGCGAACGCAAGTCTAGCATTATTGAAGTCTAGAAATGTTTGCTTACAACACACACACTGTGGAGAACACATTTTATGTGTTTATAATAATAGCAATAAAAAATTTCCCCAAATCAACTTACTTTTTTCTTGTTAATCCTGGGTTAAAGACAGTAATTATAAAAAAGACATTTCATAGAGCACTTGTACTTTTGTTGAATAAAAGAGGTATTTACAACATAGATTTAGTTACGTTTTGTAAAGTATAATAATTTCAGTTAGGCAAACTTAGTGCTCTATTTCCTTAGAGGAGAGATTTGCAACTTTTTTGGGTGCACTTTTAAGCGAGCAAAAGTCTTCCTTTTGAATACCCACATTAGAGTAACTTTGGAATGAGCAATCCATAGGTTCTCCTTAATCTAAGTGTGGTGTTTGTAAACAGAGGGCCTACTTCTATAGCACAAGTGAGTTACCTTTTTTTTTTTTATTTTAAAATATTTTATTTATTTATTTATTTGACAGAGAGAGAGAGAGTGAGAGCACAAGCCAGGAGACAGAGGGAGAAGCAGGTTCCTCGCTGAGCGGGGAGCCTGACATGGGACTCGATCCCAGGACCCTGGGATCATGACCTGAGCCGAAGGCAGCCACTTAACCAACTGAGCCACTCAGGTGCCCCACAAGTGAGTTACCTTTGATCAGCATTTTCTCATGATGAATGATAAGGGAATATGCTTTTTGACGTACATCAGTTTTCCCTTCAGATTTTTTTCTAAAATATTTCAAAACACTCTGATTTCCCTAGGCTATACCATTTTCCTCTGACTTTACTCCCTCCTATAGAATTCAGCCGTAGAACGTCTCCTGTCTCCTGGGAGTCTGCTCTTCCTTCCACATGGGCTCCCACACTCATTTCCTCCAGCTGCCTCTAGGCGGCCCTGAGTCCTGGGCCTTCATCCAAGAGCTGATGTGATGCTCTGCTGCTGCATGTCCTTGGCAGATGTTCTAGCCCATTATCTCCGACAGGGTCTCTGGCCTTGACTCTCCTTCCTTGTGAGTTTTCTTTCCCAGGGGATTCCTCAGCCTCACACAAATATAGCTGGCCCTGGAACCTCCCTAGGCTTGTCTGAATTTGCAACAATTTAGTATAGCCTGGGGGGTCCTCTGTTACACAAAGATTGGGGCTGTCACTATCAGTCATCAACTGCTTTGTGTTTAGTACTGCTTGACTCTATAGAAAGATAGGAAGGAAGAAGGGTGGGAAGAAAGGCAGAAGAAAAGAAGGAAAAGAAGAAAGAAGGAAAAAAGAAAGAAGAAAGAAAGAAAGAAAGAAAGAAAGAAAGAAAGAAAGAAAGAAAGAAAGAAAGAAAGAAAGAAGAAAGAAAGACAGGAAGAAAGACAGGAAGAAAGAAAGACAGGAAGAAAGACAGGAAGAAAGAAAGCTAATTTTAAAAAGATGAAAAGATTAGAAAATGAAAATCCTAAAAGGTACATGTTTCCTGCCTGTAAGAAGTTTATTTTCTACTTGGTTATAATTATTCATATCTAAGTACACTGCAGATTTCAGGAGATAATTAAATCAGAGAGCATATCTAGATGCCAACTTTTTTAAAAAA